GAGAGAGAGAGAGGAGGAGGGAGGATGATCAGGGCGTCTGGAGGAAAGAGAGTGGGCGAAGGGAGGGGAGGCTGGCGAGGTATAGGTGAGAGCGGCGCGAACAGTATCGGGAGTATGCACGGGGTGATGTCGACGACACGTGACGCCGGCGAATCTCGTCTCGCCGGTCGCGAGTATCGCGCCACCGTCACCGCCACCCGCAGCAACACCACCAGCAGCCACCAGCAGCCTTCTCGCGCGCTCTCTCCGCGCGCGCGAGCGCTCTCTCCAGGCGACCGACCGCGCGAGCCGCTCTTTATTAGTCTACCGCGGACCATCGCGAACCCCTTTGGCTGCCTCGCCGGCTCCACGCCGGACCAAACCGTTTCCCGACCTTCCTCCTAAACTCGGTCGTCGCCCGACCCCGCCGATCCTTCTAAAAGGGGGAGAGAAAAAAAAGAAAAAAAAAAAAGAAAACGGGGATCGAAGGAAGCGCGAGGCCGCCAGGGAAGCAGAGTTGGCCACTCCGCGCGGATCCACACGGAGCGGAAAACGGTTGGGGAGCGAGAGAGGGGAAGAGAGAGGGAAAGAGAGAGAGAGAGAGCGGGCGGGCGGCGGCAGGCCGTGTCGCGCGAGAGGAAGGGAGAGGCGAGTCGGAGTGTGGAAGAAGAAGAAGAAGAAGAAGAGGAGGAGAAGGAGAGGACGGACAGAGCGAGAAAGAGCAGGATCCTCCAGTGATACGATACCGGGCAGCACGCGCGCCGGTACGTCGGTTTTATCGGGCGCAAACTACGACGAAGCGAACCTTCGACTTCCGAGCGAAGCGCGCGATTTCGATTTCGCTCCGCTGTGACAAATCCGTCTCTCTTTTTTTTCTCTCTTCGCTCCATATCTGGATATATCTAGCTGGATATATACACGGAGAATCGAATCGGAGAACGAGAATTCTATCTCGCGTCTCGGGCGGCTACCAAGTTTTTGGGATCAACGAGCACGCTTTGCCAACGCTTTGTTCGCGGAAACAGATTTCTCCCGACACTTTCTTCCTTCGCTCGGTTGTGTTACATCTTCTCCAAGAGAAATTTGATCCACCGCGCTTTCTATCTGCCGTCCAAAGGAAAATCAAAAAATAATATATAAATATCTTTGGAAGATCGTTCGTGAAAATCTCCCATTATCTCGCCCTTTCCCCTCCCCTCGAAGTGGAAACGAAAATATCGTGGAACCTAGTGCGGATTTCTTGGACGCGAGGACCTGTCCAACGCTACCACCGACGCGAGTGTCATCGTATCGTTACAGCCCGAAGGAACTGATCGATCGCGACAGTGGTTCTATATATCATCCACTTCCGTACCACCTCTTCCTTCTTCGCCAAACCGTTTTTCCGTTTCCCTTGTTCCCTTGTTGCTCGTCCATCGCGTGAACACTCTCTCTGTTCGACGTGTGACGCGTCGTGACATGTGCGATAGTCTGCGAGCCTCCGCCTCGTTATCGCGCTCCTTTTCCTCGTCCTCCCGCGTATCGTCCTCGTCGTCGTCGTCGTCGTCGTCGTCGTCGTCGAGGAAAGCGAAAGAGTATCGGGTGGCCGCGCGCTCGCGGAAAGAAGGAAAGAGGAGCACGTGGACGACTGGCACCGCGACGAGGGCCGGCGGCGCGACAGGTTGAAAAGATGCTGGCACTGGCGATGCGCCGCGAACACACGACCGGGCGCAGCAATTACGAGCCCGCGAATCCGCTCGCGGGTTTCGACCACTTGCAGCACAACAGCGGGAACCCGTTCGCTGTTGTTCCCTCGTCGTCGGAGGGCAGGCTGCGAGAAACCGGCCCTGAGCCCGACGGCGAGTTGCAGGAATTCGTGGACATCGCTCAGGTACAGCAGCTTCTGCAGCAGCAGCAGCACCAACAACAACAACAACAACAACAACAACAGCACCAGCAACAACAGCAGCAGCACCAACAACAACAGCAGCAAGCGCAACAACAGCATCACCACCATCATCATCAGCAACAGGTGGCGGCCGCCGCGGCTGCGTCCTGCATCTGGGGAGCGGTTTACCCGCCGCCGCCGCCCGCGCTCGGATACCATCATCACCATCACCACCATCACCATCCACCGCCACCACCCTCAGGTAACGTTGCCTCGATCGTTCAACGCCTCGCGATCGTTTCTCCACATTTGGCTCGCGTGCAAGAGGTTCCAAGAGGTGTCTCGTCTCGATACGTGCAGCCCACCTTGATTTGTCGCCCCTGATTTCTCCGACCCGCGACACGGCTCGCCTCTCTTATCGGCCGGACGGGATTTCTTTATGGGTTGCGAACGTGACGATCTATAAGCGCGTGCGGCCACGCTTTTTCCCTCGGATCGGATACGCTGACCGATTCTCGGCGCTGGCCAGCTCGTGGCCGGCTACCGGTATTGGCGCTCGATCTAAACACTCGGTGATAATCGATCTTTACGAGCGACACATCGAAACCTGTATTTCAAGACCGGCTATTAAGTTTCTTGTCACCGCGCCGGCTCGGCCAGCCCTCCCGGCTATATCGCGCCGCGACGTCAACGCGATGTTGGCCGCGAAACGTTCGTTCCTAACGTGGGTCCCGGCTCAGATCCTGTCCCGATTGCATATCCTTCGATTCTCGCCTGAAATATTCCCTTCGAATTCTCTCCGCAACGCTTATCGTTTCGAGACCTCGCTCGCGAGTTCGGCCCTCGTGTGGGCAACCGACACTTGAAATTCGTCTTTGTATTTTCTTCGATCGTTTTGTCTCTCCCCCTTTGTCTTGACGTTTTCCACAGAACGAAAGAGAAGGATTTTTTTTTTTTTTTTTGAAATACGTACAAACAAGAATTCGTTGTAATGTAACTAAGAGCAAAAAGTCGTTTTTATCGCGGACCATTTCTCTCTTTTCTCTTTCTTTAATTCGACGAAGACAACCTCTCGAAACCTTTCACGCGATTTTATCAATGTTACATTTATCGATACTCCTCGCTTAAAGTTAATCCTGAATAATCTAACGTTTCAAAGTTTTATCTTTATTCCCGTTCGCGGACAAACAGGATAAATGATAAAACTCAGATGCGTTTCTCGAACGTTGGATAGAACGGTTACGCAGATTTCTTCCAGCAACGACGACCATTAGATATAACGTAGATTTGAAGCACGGGCCAACAGCTTTTCGCTTGCTGCAACTCGCTCGCTGCGTCGTTGCTTCGCTTGCCTACGCTTCGCTTTTTTTTGTCGTTCTACCTTGGTGATGGACGCCTCCTGCGATTCGTTCGTTCGACGCGGGGAATGGAAGAAGAAAAAGAAAGGAAACGAGCGTATATCGACGAAAAATAGGAGGAGAGCGGGCGAACGATCAACGCGATCTTGCCGTCGGAACGCGAACAGCCCGTCTGTGCCCCGTTCTCGCTGCCTTATTACTCGTCGGATCGGAAATCCTTTCGAATCTGATAAAAATTTTAAAAGATCTTAATCACCGACTATCCTGTTAATTGTTATTTTATCGCTCGCGAATAACACAGCGAGATTGTTGGCGAGCGGAATGGCATTTCTTATAGCGGAGATAACATTAACGATAACCGTTGATTAATTGCGAGACTATTAACTCTTCGATCGTTGCTCCCCCATTGTTTGCAAACTGTGAATATATATATACCGTGTTCTAATTTTACCATGTTACACTTCGATAAAATAAGCGCGTTTAACGTGCGTTGTACACTTTTTTTTCTCATCGTTGAAAAAGATGACAGATCGATTCGAATGAAAATTTCGTTTCATTTTCACGCGAAGTTATTTTTAATATAAACGGAACAAAGTAGATGGTGTATAAATGGTGTGCACGTAGCCACGATAGAAGAAGGATAAGAATATTCGATATGTTGTAGTAGTTTAAACGCACAGGGTTTAAACTATTGCGATTATCCGAGAGGAGAATTTAGACGTCGGTTGAGGCATTTATAAAAGGTTCAAAGGTTTAGGTGTATTGCGCTAGCGATTGCGTACACGAATTAGGGAGGGCTGGCGCGAAAAGAGGTCAGGCAACGCGGTCTTCGACGCGTCATAATGTCATTAAGGATCCCCCGACCGTGACGATTAATGAAATAGAGCTCGATCCTCAGTGGCGTAAAAATCGAGTCTCTGAGAGACAATGGATACGGAGAAACGATATATCGAAAGTGTAGGAGGGAATAATTTACCTTTTCGATTTGAATACCTTTTGATTTTTACCTTTCGATGAATTTTCTTCGACTCGCTCGTTTCGATTCTTCCTCGAAGGAATTTCCGAGGGAAATCGATAGAAAAAAAATAAAGCGCAAGGATGAAGCGTGTTTCGAAGAGGCGATTCGAGAGGATGGCGGGGCTTATGAGCGCCTCGAATTCGTACGAAAAGAAAGATTAGAAGCCGGGGACGATCCCCCTCCGAGAGAGAAGAACGGTTGTCGGACCACGCCTAATCTTTCCCTCCCTGCGCGGTAAATGGAATTATTCCTCTCCCTGCTCGAACAGCTTTTGGTGCAACACCTATCATCCTTTTTATTCCAATCTTAAACTCCTTTAAATTCTTCCCTCGACCTTAACTTTCCACCTCTCTTACTTTTTCTCCAGGAAAGCGAAGAACTCGAACAGGTGGTTTAAGAGAAAAGATCGCACGGCTTTCGACCTCTCGTTCGTACTCGTGTAAAATCGGCGCATCGCGGCGAACAACACGGCATTTTCGGTGATGACCAGTCGAGAATTGCTCGCGAACAATTGCGCGGCATGGAATTTACCTGCGCAACGGCACGAGTTCATACGAAATTGTACGATTGATTTCATTCAACTTTTGCCATTGTTACGAGCGCTAATCAGACATTGCAACACGAGCGCTCCTCTAACAATAAGAGAGAGAGAGAGATACAAAGCTCTCGTTGGAGAGACAAGTCGTTCTCCATTCTCGTAGGGATAAATTCCTAAAGTTTTCAGGTCGAGGAGTTGGATGGAGGCGATTCCATCATTGCCATTCACAATTTCCCGGCGAGAGTTCGCTTCCAAGCAGGTAGCCAATGATGTGTGTGTGTGGAGGGGTTCCTTTTTTTCTTTTTCTTTATTTCCCTTGGATCGTGGCAGGAGCGGGGCAGGACGAGCGGGCAGCAGCTTTCATAGATCATTGTTTAAAGTGTCGTGGCTTTGTATGGTAACGCGGAGTAAATCGTACGTACACTCCTGACATTTCGTTATTATTGTACGACCCGTAAGACAGGAAATCGTACATCATGCACGAACCTACGGTGGGCGGGTAAAAGGGAACGAGTCACCTTCTTCTCTTCGAGCGTTCGGCTCATTGGCGTTCCGCGCGATCTTAAGTGTTTATACGCCCTCCGTCTTTTCCCTCTTCCCTCCTTCTCTCCAACATTTTTCACCGCTTCTCTCTCTCTCTCTGTTCGCGAAAAACGTTTACGCGACGCGATATCAATCAATCAAAGAGGAGAAACAAGTCGGGGAAAGAAGAGATTCGTGGAGGAAGAGGATCTTCGAGGAGGAAATCAGATCTGAATTTTTCAAATTTTAAATTCCAATTTTCGCGACGCGAGATTCGAAATTAATCGAAATTATGAGAGAAGATTCAAGCGATTGAACCCTTTAAATAAACGTTCCTCCCTTCCTCTTCAACGCTCGCTCTGTTAATCAATCGGAATGGCCGTCCTTAGACCTTAACGAAACGGTAGAATTTCTCCAACACCCACACCCCATTTCCCTCATCTACCGTGCGCGAAATGACCAACCGTCTGTCGAGCTGCATTCCACGCTCGTTCCGTCTCTGACCCATATACATCCGCGGACGACAACGAACTCTCGTCGTCGAGAATCTACACTTCTTTTTCTCGACGTTGTCAAACGGATCGGATATTTTAACTCGATCAGGTCACAAATTCGTTCGAGCCAAACGTTTTCTCCCCCGTTTGCCAAATTTTCAAAGGGGGATTCTTCCTTTCTTCTCCGCGGACGGAGTTCTCTTTACGTAACGCGGCGCGATTTCCATGCCTCGCCACCCACGTTTCCATAAGCCTCGAGATTCGACGAGATTGATTTCATTCCAGAGAGTTTGAGTTAATTTGGAGCATCGTCCCGAGTGAGTATCCGCTCGAAGAAAGGAATTCTTTGTAAAATTTAAAAAGAAATTCGCTCTCCACGTTTCTGAAATTGTTTTTTCAATCGTTGGAAAATCGTCCGCGTTGAATTTCTATGCTCGCTTGATTCGAACAATTTTGTAAACGTTTGTAAAACGTCGATGGTCGACGTTTGGTTGTCTTGTGAAATTTTACGTGCGAAATAATACTGGATGATGCAATGCAAACGTGGAACAGCTTCGAAGAGGAATTCGCGGAAACCGCGACGATAAGTTGTAACGTCACCTCGATCGTCGATCCGTTTGATATGTTAAGCGGGAAAAAAACGCGAGAGATCATCTCGAGACGAGAGAACGACGTCATCGATAACGACAATCGCGATTAAAAGTATGATAATAATAATAACCTGCCGTCTATTTATCAAATTTACGTGTACGTGTACGTCATTGCATTCGAATATACTTCCTCATCGCTCTCTAATTCGATATTTCGAATGTGACGCTTATATTTGCTGTCGTGAGTCATCGGATCGTTTGGCCTCGAAGCCAAACGCCTTTATATCCGGCGTTCGGCTTTTCCAAAAAAAGTTTTTCCATCTCTCGAGTTTCCCTAATTCGCGTCGCTTTGCTTCTTTATAGCCGGCGATAAACCGTGTACTTGAAAATTCTTCTCCCTCCCCTGTCGCATATAAGCGCGTAATAATGCGGGTCTTTCTTTTCCTTTTTTTTTTTTTTCTTTCTGCGCCTCTAAACAACCCATTCGTCACACTTGGCCCGCGTTCCAACGAGGTGGACCGCCGCTGCCAAAATCATTGCTGCCCGTCATAGATGATGGTGCAACGTCACAAAGTTGGACCGTTGGTGAGTGTCGTCGAATAGTCTGAATCATTGGACGGGAATAAACGGCGCAGTTTTCGCGGTTTAATTTCTCGCCGCGGTTATAAGAACGTTATCCGGATAAATAACGGCGGATGCCATTCGGATGAGGCTGGGATATTACGAGATTGAGAATTTCACG